AATAATAATAATAATAATAATAATAATAATAATAATAATATATATATATATATATATATATATAAAAAAAAAATTCCCCTGATATTGTTTGTGGTCTTATATAATCACATATCTATCTCACTCTATCTATCTATCTCTCTCCATCCATCCATCCATCCATCCCGTAGTAATAATAAATAAACTAATAAATGAATGAACTAACAAATGAATAAATATATAAAAACTAAAATAAACACCAAGAAAAGACATTAAAATGATATAACAAATAGGTGTTTTTTTATGTATATTGTGTACATAAATATAATTGGCATGAACTCTTTATGTTGCATTTATTTTAATGTAAAGTAACAGGTCAGTCACTTCAGTGTTATTTTCCCTTCACCATCATTTGGCTGAGAGTTTCTCTTTACCAGAACGGTGGTTATATATTAAAGATCAAATATGTCCTGATTGTCTTTGACCGTCGCGCCGCAGCAGCATTTGGCCTTCAACAGTTAATTGGTGCTGGAAGCATGTCGTAACGCATCTGATTAGAACACGGTGTAAACCTGTAAACTCTAGCTGTACAAGAGACGAGAAACTCCATTCCCTTCACTCTCTACGGTCTGCCACAGCAGAACACATTAAACTTGCAGGAGAAATGAATGCTGGGATATCAAATAGCGCCGGAGAGCAAAACGAGAGAGAGAGACAGAGACACAGATGTTTTCTGAATGAAAGTAGGGCACTAGGACAGTAACGTCTGTGCTGCATTTCTGCGATTAGTTTGATGGGGAGAGAAAACGAAAAATAGATAAAAGGATGGAAGAGAAACGAATATACAGAGAAGCTGTCTGCTGACACAAAAATAATGTTTTGAGAAGAATGTGTAATGTCTTGTTTTCGCATACCTATAACTAAACTATAATAATAATAAAATAAATTATATTTGTATGTAAAACATTTTAATTATTTTTCCCTGATTTTTTGCTGTATTTATATATTCACAGATTACACATAATTTAATTTAAAGCAAATAAATTAATTACTAAAATTAAATAAAAACTAAAAAATTATTATAAATAATAATAATTAAAAAATAATAAATTAACAAATAATATATAACTATTATAATATAATACAAATAATTTATATTATAATTTCTAGTATTCTAATTATAGAATTATAGTTAATTATAACTTATAATAAATTTTTAATTACAATATTAATTTAAATAATTTAAGGTGATAAATTGCTACCTGTGCTCTGTGTAACGGGCTCATTTGCAGGCAGAAAATCTTCATCATAAGAATCGTCATTAGACTCGTCACCGTCCACTGAAGACCAGGCGCGAAGCTTTGCTTCTGCGATGGCAAACTGCTCTGCCACTCCTGATAAAAACACACACATAATGACATTACATACTTCACACATCATATCTGCATCAGATTTAAACTAGATCACACACTGCGGTCATTTCATCAAATGTAGCAGAGGGTGTGATGCGTCGCCGTGGATACAGGATGATTGATTGTTCTTATTGCCTGCCACATAGAAGCCATATTTGATTGACAGGTCATTTGAAATTGAACATTGCCTCAATGTGAGATGACGATATCACAGCAATGTCCTCGATGAGACAGGAAGTGACCTCAGCACTGCTGAGCTGCAGTCACACACACACACACACACACACACACACACACAC